ATCCTGTACGACGGAAAGCCATGAGCCTATACAGAAAGAGCTAACTGGCAATCTGGAAGGTCATGAGAGTAAACAGAGAGAACTAACTGGCAATTTGGAAAAATCGTGTACGACGGAAAGTCATGAGAGTAAACTGAGAGAACAAGCTGGCAATTTGGAAAAATCCTGTACGACGGAAAGCAATGAGCCTATACAGAAAGAGCTAACTGGCAATCTGGAAAGTCATAAGAGTAAACAGAGAGAACTAACTGGCAATCTGGAAAGTCATGAGAATAAACAGAGAGAACTAGTTGGCAGTGGGGAAAGATCGTTCAAGGGATCATGTTTACCGAAAGCTACCGTTGAGGGTAACCCAACTCCAAAAGAAAAATCTGTTTTAAAGGACTCGCAACTCACAACACATCCGTTGCCAAAACAGCCCGAAAGTAAAGTAGACAAAAAGTGTGAGGCTCAAAACGAAAATAATATGGAGAGTACATTATCTGAAAAACATGAAACGTACGAGATTCTTCCCCTACAGGCAACAGTGCAGCAAACGCGCGTTGGTGACATAAAAATAGCAGAGCTTGAATCATCAGCAAGAAAAGTTACTCTATCGTCAGATAATATGAACATTCCGGAAAGTTCAGCCAAGGAAAAGGTACAGCAGATACGAAAAGTCAAGAAGATGCAAGTGCCCAGCTCGAGATTTTGGACATTCGTATCACCCAGAACCGACAATCGGAAACAAAATAATAATGTTCAGGCTGAAAATAGAACCTTAGACTCCCTAAAAACTGCACAACAGGAGACTACACAGCCAGCAAATCTCTCTCAAGCTGCAAAGGAAAACATAGCGCCTAGCTTCAAAATTGGACAACTCGAGTCGAAGCTTGACTCGCAAAATACAGCGAGAGGTGAGGTTGAAAAAGATTTAAAGAGGAAAATTACAACTGAAAATTCTGAGATACATTCGAATGAGATTTTGGAGTGTCCACCATATAAGAAATCAAAGTTGTCTCCAAATAATCAGGAATTTCAACAACAGCAAACAAGTGTTAAGCCATCGGCCAACACCAAACGATTACAGAAAAAAGGAGAAAATATTACTCAGAAGCAAATTTTCCCGGAATTCAATGTGAATCAAATAAGCGCTCTCATTGACAAAAGGCCACTAGGCGAAAAGGTTGAACCCACTCGAGAGAATGTGTTTGAAAATCGAATCAAGCAAATTGAAGAGCCCAGACAAAATAAGGACCTGTATGGTGCTGAGAGAAGAGAATTGTCTGCAGCCTTAAATACGAATTCCTTTATAAAGCCTAGTGAGAAAAATGTTGCTGACAAGGCGTGCCCTAAAAAGCCAGCGAAATATTTAATAACTATGACGGAAGATGGGGATATAGAAATAAGGTATAATAAAGAAGTGAATGGAAGCTCGGAAGTTTTGCTAACCACGGCTGATACTACTGATCTGCCTAATCCGATATCGCCTGAGTCCCCATTAGATCAATTTTGGGCATTGTTGGAGGGTAAAGGCAAGGTGGACACGTCACATCCGGATGAAAACCCATTTGAAAAGTTTTGGCCCTATTTGGATCATAACTACGACATGGATGTCAGTAGAAGGAAAACGATTTACAAATGGGATGAAAAGGCAATAGAATTATTTCGGCGATACATGGACGCAGCCTGCAAGCCGCCATCCATCAACGATAAATATGTGAGAACGACGATGATAAGGGCCACTATACATCAGATTAATGCATTTTTCTCGGCACTCGCGTTTTTGGACACCGACATCGAGCGACACACGGAGAAGGATCAGCATAGCAGACAAACGCAGCCGGGTAATCAGCAAAATATGGGCGGGACAACAACGGATTCGGACTTGCATGCGGATCTACTTAAGTCATGTTTAAATTCTGGCAACGATCGGTCGCCGGCAGATCAACGTAAGATCGAGGCTGAGTTGGGTTGGGATGACAGCTCACGCGACTCATTATTATCATTCCTGTCAGCTGTGGAGCCCAGCAACAACGAATCCGCGTGTGGCCAACCTAAGAAGAAGCCGATGTTGAAAGCGAATGCTAGCAACGGCAGGAAACGCTTCTCAATCAATCAATCTAAGCTAGAACCGTATGAGGTAATATTGCTAAACTTTTGCTATCGTGCCAGATTTTCATTTTACTTGACTAGGTCGGCCCAAAGATCAGTAAGCTCTCACTCAACCCGCAAAGGCCGTCCAGTCACATTCTACCGAGCAGACCCCTAACAGCGGTAAGAATGCCAACAGATCTGGGAAATACCAATATTAATTTGTTTTCAAATAGGCTTCGCAGAATCAAGCCCAGCCAAGTCGCGCAGTTCAAGTAGATGGAAGAGTGCCCATAGACAATAAGTGCGTTGCCAAAAATGAACTGCCCATGCCCCAAAAGGTAAATACCTAACTGATTCACTACCCAATCATTCAAGACCTAATTTGACATAATTCCCTAAAATGTTTCAATCTGTTTCACAGCCCATGCCCAAAGCTCAGCAAAATCCCCTAGCGCAAATAACTCCAATGAAAACCAAGCACCCATATGACATGCCTGAGATCTAATACGGTATCAATTTGAGATGCTAGTGCCCTGCTATTAATCGGTACACTCCACTTACTTGATTACCCCATGCCAAACATCGTTGTGCTTACAAATCCACAGACAAAAAGTAGATGCCAATAGCAAATAAGGTAGGTTAAAGTCGGAATAGAAATGGAATCGCAAATGGAATCTGATCGGGGATTATTAATCGGCTCAAATATATAAATGTTTCTTTGCAATTAACAGTTATTGGAAGTCAAATGAAGACAGCGCAAACAGATAAAAACAAGTCGGCGGTATCCACGCTAACGCCAGCGGTAAGAAAGCTCAGATTGTTATAGAGAGAGACACAATTTCATCTGCATTCAGCAGGGATTTGATTTCCCTTCAATTTTCCAGGGAACGCACAATCTCATTCTCTAGGAATTTAGTTATCTCTCATTTCAGACACTTCAATTTGCAACACTACAGGGATTTAGTTCCCTTCAATTTTCTATACAACATAAAGCTGAAGAGGCTCCACAAATGCTATACCAAGACTCGGGTTGAGCGAGACGATAGCTCCAGCAACAATTATATATATATATATCGGTGGGATTTAGTGCGGACGCAGTAAGTGTTAATGCCTATAATGAAAAACTAATACTAACGAGATATATCTCAGTTTGATATACAGATAAGCTCCGATAGTAGCTTACCGAAATACGCCATTTAGGAATTATATTCACAATCAGTGAATAGACTCCAAGTTCAACTGCAAACACATATAACAAAACAAATATATTCACTCATCGAGCTGTATGCGCAAGGTACGTATAAGTCGGATAATGATAAAAATATTGATAACTGATCCATAGCTTCAACCTTTTTACAGAAGACTCAGCACGCATTCTGATCGAGCTGGAGGAGTGATCCTCAGGGTGATCAAATAACCGATCAAATCTTGAGATCAACGAGGAGGTTTAATTTATGCTTGACAGAAAAGAGGCCCATCGATCCCTCTCAGAGACCTCGGGTATGGATTACCCACGAGTTGCCCTTGTGGTGCGAATTTTGCCATAGAGCAGTTGAGGTTAACGAGCCGGAGTTCGTGATGCTAATTTTGGATGTGGCTCAGCAGAGCTACATCAGTTTAATATGATCATTTTGGGCCTGCAGATCCTCCGGATATCTGTGCTATCGCTTTCACACACTGTTCACACTTAACGGTGTCGTCGGCATTCATGCTCTCATCGTTGTCGTTATACGCCTGATCCATGTGAGCATCAAGAACGATGGCCAGAAAATCTAGTTCCTTCACGTGCCTGAATACCTGCCGCATCGAGCTATCATTCTTCCTCAACATAATCTATGGCCAGGTGCTAAAGGTGAAGAGAGGACGTTGTACCAGTTTCGAAGCTGGTCAGCTTAAGCAACCGAACATAGTGCCCACTGAGCTTTCCTCGCTCTACCTGGTACGCCCTCTGTTCTTTAACTCGACTTCAATTAGCAAATCAACGAATCTCTCTCTGATTTCCGATTGCTCTCGCCTCTAGCTTCATGCACATGAAGTCTGTCTTCCACATTCTGCGCAAGAAGTGCACACACACTGTCTCAAACGCTAGAGATGCCAACAAAGGCGCCAAACTATCCCAACTAGATCAATCGAGTCATCATCCTACCAAATACAATTTCCCAAGTCCACACCGAGCTCAGCTCGCAGCACAGCTCGCCATGTGAAGGTCTCCCCCATAGCAGTCGAGTCCTTCTGAGAGTTACAATACGCCGAAATCTCAACTGCGCCTCAATTGCTCGCATTTCTACTTGGCCTGCGGACAACATCGTCTCCGGCCGGATGTTCACTGATGATCATCGAGGAAGCGCGAATCATGGGCCTGTTGATACCAGAGTGGACCTATCAGCGTCTTGTGATCGAATTGTCTTCAAGGCAAAGAATTATCCCAAGGATAATATTTAACACTAAGCACATTTAGCAGTCACATAGCTGAGACTAATTTTCCATTTGCAATCGAGCCATTTCCTTTGGCATCGAGATCAAGAATTATCTCACTGATAATATTTAACACACTAGCAGTCATATGACTAATACATACCTGAGACTTGCTTTCCATTTTCTTCTTTTATGGCATAGTATTATCCCATATATTACCATTATTTATTATTTTATATTTGCATATCAATGTGATATATGATATCAAGACTAGCTTATAGAACACACAACTGGCTGCAGAGGACTTTGTCTACACTTATAATTAGTTATAATTCACACACATTTGTAAATAAACTCGATTTGATATTTTTATGCTGACTCCATTTGAATAAATTGTTCCTTTCACTGCTATTAATAGCTGATCCTATTTGCGTCAATTAATAAGTCGCTTTTCTCAATCTTCATTTCGCTCATTTTCGCTTTCCCAAAATAAAATAATTCCACTTGATGAGCTCGCAATTTGTCGCTTGACCGCCAGGTGGCGCCCAACAAACAGCTTAATTACAGGCTGAGCAATTGAATTTGTGCTCAAAAAGCACTTGAAGCGCCCACTTCGTGATGGGCGTGGCACGGTCCATTGCCACAAATTGCCGGTGATGCTGAGCGTGCCGTAACGCTCCATTAGCAAGGCGTCCGGCATAGTCAATATGCATATACATACATATATATTTAGGTATATATATATATATATATATATGAAAATGTATGTATATATCTGCCTGTATCTGTAGCTGTACATCTAGAGATAAGTGCTTGTAGATACAGCGCCAAACACATTAAAATTCAGCCTTCAATTTCGGAATCAATAAGCAAAAGTGCCACACCTACCCACAACAACAACAACAACAAGCAACAACGAAAAACAACGAATAACAACAACAACAGCTCACGCCCCCCGATGCAAAGATTTCGGTGTAGATTTTTTGACATTTTGTTGGGAACTGAGCCGTGGGGAGTTTATTTCGGTTTCGTATTGAAGCGGATGAACGTGACTATATCTTTTCAAAATTCTAAAATAATTTTCTATGTAAATGTTCATAGTCCACAATATATACATATTTGAAATCAAAGTCTAATAAGAAATCATAATAAATATAAGAAATAAGTTTACAATTCTGAATTTTGTTTTCTGTTTATTCCAATCGGCAGACCTAATGAAGAGTCCCCAATTTTCCATATCAAATATTCTTTAAAATTCAATATATGTATATCTGACATACCTTATCATTCTATATGCTAACTGGTTTTTATCTCATATAAGTCTTAGTTTAAGTTTTACAAAGCAGCTCAGATTTTATTAATTTTTTATTTGAACTTTGGAGATAATAAAATCTAAACTAACTTATTTTGTAAAGTACTTGCCACAGAGCTCTTCGGCTGGAGTTAGACCCATCTGGCAGCCCTATATCTTTTGACAGCACGAGCACAATACAAGGCGACCATTTGAGAGATATCATATTCAAAAAGTGATGTCAATAAACCCACTTGAACCAAACAAAATGATTATCATCGTCAACATAACAAAATTGTGCTTTTCTTTGACATAAAAAATAAACCTTAAAAAAAAACCAAACTGAATATGGATAACCTTTATGGTTGCCAGATCCGTCGAATATGGACAGCCCTTTAAAGCTCAGAATATTCTATAAAACGGCTATTTAGGCTATTTGAAGTATTTAGTAAGCTCCTATGTATATACAATATAACATATATTTTATCTATTCCTATGGCTATAAGGTATTCCAGGTCCGTTGAGCGTCGTTATAACTGGATACTGCTCTAATTAAACAAAGAGTGTTGTTCCTTTTCGTTCTGTCTCTCTCTTTCTCTTTCTATGACATTATTTTGTCAAACAATTTAACAATACAAGTTTTTAATAACTGTTAGAGTATCTCCACTTCGTTCTTGCCCAAGCATCTATGCCTCTTCTACCTTTTTCTATCTTTTTTTTTGTCATACTCTGTAGTATTCCATGAGTACAATTGCTGTTTGCGTCGCTGTGGCAGCTGCTGGATAGAATCGCTTAGGCCGATAGACACGCCCACAAATGATACCCACAACGCGACTGTGTGTGTGTGTGTGTGTGTGTGTGGGTATCTGAATGTGTGTGTGTGTATTAATTTGTTGTGAAATTTTGTGCATTTATTTATTGTGGGTTTTTGTATGGTAGTATACACACACACACACACACACGCATACGTGTATGTATGTCATATGCCTGTATGTATTCAGATAGAATTTTTTCTATTTTGCCTTAAGGTGACTGCTCTAGTCTCTGGACCCGGCTCTGGCTCTGGCTCTAGCTCTGGGTCTGGGTGACTGCTTTTATGGCTAACAAGATTAGGAATATAAAGGTTTTTTGTAAATTTGTTTCTACTTATGCTTCTTTTTCTTTAATGCGAAATTGCGTTTTAAAATCATTTCTTGAACAGCATTAAAATAAAAAGAAAATATAATCTCTTATTGTTAAATTTCTTATTCTCTTAAAAAGTAAAAAACATATATTTTATTCAATTTTTACACATTTATTTTACATTAATTTAAATTAAGACAGAAATGGAAACTCAACGATGCATTGGGTGACAAAGAGACAAATATACATATAGAAAAGCAGAGAAAGAAAGGATGAATACATAGTGATCGAAAGACAAAGGAAGAGGTAGAGACTGGCAGAGAGACGGAGAGAGAGAGAGAGCTAGAAATGAAAAACAAAAATAGTGAACAGGAGAGAGAGATTGAGTATGAGAGAGATAGATATATAGAAAGAGATAGAGAGAGAAAGAAACCCAAAGGCAAGAAATGAGATATTTCATTGCTTATCTTATCATCATAATGATCTCCCTTGATCGAGTCCTTGCGATAGCAGCTATAAAGCGAATTTTCTGAGCCAGATTTACACGGTTTTATAGAGTATTTGGCAGTCAGTTAAGGCCAAAGGCGATGCCTCAACTTGAACATTTATCTTCGTAAACAGTTTTCCATTCAGCGTTAAGTCGACTTCTGATGCCATTTACAGACACTTTTGGCGCACACAAAGAAAACTCATCTGTCTGTGAGTGACACACAAGAACAATGACTGCTCAAATT